CACTCGTAAGTATGTTGAGAGAAAACAAGGAAACTGATGCTGTAAGTTTCCAGTCTTTATCCTATGCTAAGCGATTCTAACTTCCGGCCGTATCCTCATATTTAATGTTCAGAAGAGGTATCATTCTATCAACTTTTTACAAAAAAAAATATTCAAGTTTATTTGATCACTCAAAATTCTTACTCGACACTGGTGTAAAATCATTAAACAGGACATATATTAAATAATACTTGCAAAGCAGGAGAATTGGACACATACACGCTTCAAGGCTAACCCAAGTGCTGTAATCGGAGGCTGGACGTTGACTCATAAGCATCTCACTGTCATTGACCCAGAACACAATGTGCTCTAGCTCTGTGTGAAAGAGCTCAGGCTTTCTGTCGTCTGAGGTGAAACATTGCAGTTTTTCCAACAATTTCTTTAATATGCACAAATGTGCTGCTGTCGGTTTTCTTTATCTGCCAATATTGATTTTCCATTTGCATCATAAATGAAATGTCTATATGCTAGGATGCTTAAAATGCAATTCTAGGGCATTTAATGAATAGGTTAATGTTCTCCAGAAAAGGCGTAATTGTGGACTTTTCTGCTAGGTTTCTCAAAACATTGAACAGACTCAACTTGTCAGGCTTGAGGATTTAACAGTCACTTTGAAGAAATAATGTTGTATAAACATGAATCTCCGTTCTACATCAGCGAAGGTCCTCAGCTCACCAATCCTGTCTTTAACTCTCTCAAGCTGCTGCACGGTTTACCCGTTTTAAAAGGCGTGTTGGACGCTGTGTAAATCGACAATAAAATAAGTATCTTCCGTTTTTACCTAGATTTTAGTGATGTCACTCTATTGGAGGTCTTCATAACAATTCAACAAGCATATCTGTAAAATAATAATAATGCACAGACTTGAGAGACATTTCTCTCAACGTATTGTGTTTCAGTTTCAGTCAATTACGTCATACAGCCTGACCGTTTTTTTTTCTTCTTTTTGGCAGGTTTTGTCACTGTTTTACAGGCGCTTGTGAGAAATGTGGTCTGTCTCTTTTTCTTGGTAATTTAGGTGTTTGGAAATATTTGATGGACATATATATATATATATATATATATATATATATATATATATATATATATATATATACACACACATACAAATACACACATGCATACATACCCATAAGCACAAAGAGAAATGGAGGAAAAAATTAAAAAAGGGGGGTGGCGGGAAGAAAAAAAAAGGGGTGAAAAGGGTCTGAATGGCTCTGTTCTTTCAATAACTAAATAAAACCTGAGGCAACATGCGTGTGCTTTTCTCCTATATTATCGTTGATGTGTTGAACTTCCATTTCTCCCATTTGTCACGACATTGTTCCTCTTTGGTTGTGATTTTGTGGGTTAACAGTTCCATATTGTATAGTTCAGCCACTATCTTCATCCATGCCTCTATTGTTGGTGGTTCCGTCCTTTACCATCTCTTTGTAATAACCTTTTTGTTAGCAGGATTTTCAACAGATACCCGTCTTCTCTTAACACCTCCTGTAATATTACCGAGGTAAAGAAACACACATGAATTAGGTACGTCATAGCCCAGGATTCTGACAATGGTGGTATGAACTTTTTCCAGCCAAAATACATGGGAGTGGGTTACATTTACTGCCCCACAATTGCTCCAACATGGTTGGGCATTAGACAGACACTTGATTGTGATTTGGCGGGTAATAAAGAATCTGATTACATTTTTCCAACAGTGCCTCCCTCCACATTCACAAGGATGTTGAGGGTTGTTGTGTCCTCCAAATATTTAACCATTCATCATTTGTGATATTCACTCCAAGTTCTTGTTCCCATTTAAGTTTTAACGGTTTTCAAGGTGTGGCGGTTAAACAAAACAACAACAAAAAAGATGCGTTCGCAATAAAAACCTACATCCATTTCAATCCGGAGAGACTTGTTGAAATTTGAACAATGCTTTATTATAACAGGTATAATATGATATTGCAAGTTGTTTGGGGCTTGGACTCCATCCTGCCGCAAGACAGACCTGGGTCTCGAGTCGAGACGAGACATAGCCCCCCTTGGGAGTGCAGACACTGGGTGGTGGTGGTGGTGGTAGAGCCCACGTTGCATAACCCTCCTGCTATGCCAGGTTCTGCTGTAGATTGGAGGTGTCAGGGGTGGTGGCGGGTCACCTTTGGGGGTGGTGGCGGGTCACCTTTGGAGCGTGCTGAAAGGACAACTGACAGCACAAGAGAGGAGAACAGTTTTTAACGTTTGCCTGCCCCAATGCGATTGGTTTACGGTAACGACACCCACGTCTGATACTACCCGACCCCGCCCCTAATCAGCTGGTGTGCCCCCAGAGAGAGAGGAGGCCCCCAGGGAACAGCACAGCCTGTCCAGTCTTCCTGACTGAATTTTCGCCTAAGCTTCATTTATATTGTTGCACTGTATTAACGCGTGCTGTCTCCGGGTCAAGGAAGGAAGGAGGTTCTCAACTGGTGGGTTGTGCGGCCATTGTCTAAGGGTCACAGATGTGAGTGCTGTCTTGATGTTTGCAAACCTTTTGGTATATATTTTATTGAAAAATATATATTTTTTAAATAGAGGTGTTGAATTAAACAATTGCCTATTTTTTTAAATAATTGTTTCGATACACAAAAACATTGAGAACAAATTTAGACAATCTAAACTGCAGAAAATTATGTAAAATGTTGTGTAAATGTTACTTACATATAGTCTATAAATAAAGGTTAAAAAAGATAACCTTGATTTTTTCGTTTGAAGCAGTCTGAGTAAAACTTACAAAGAAGGACAGAGTAAAATTCAATGTCCATATTAATAATAATCAGTAAATTACTTAAGGTTTGCTAGTAAAAGTAACTTATATCCTGCAAGTATGATTCACTTGATGATCGTCCTTGTAGAATTTACTCCACTTTCTAAGTGCAAAAACCACTAGTACTCCATATTTTTTTCAGTGTACTAGGACTTGGACTGCTGTTTCCGTAGCTTATAATGGAATATAAACTATAACTTCTGTCATCCCAACAAGGGCTAATGTTCATCCAGAGTTTTCTGCTCAACCACCAATTAAGTGATTTACAGGACAAGGTCAGTGCTGGGTTCCGTTCCAACAACGAGAACAGAATTGGGAATTTGAACTTGGATTCACTTTAATCCATTTTAAATTTGTAATCTTTGACAATAAAACCCAATATAATGTAGTCTTCAGCTGCACAACAATAATCCAGCACTGCATCATCGTCTGGCCACGTGATGAATTCAAAGCAACTAAGTATAGTATTATTATAGTATTATTAAGTATAGTAGTATAAACCGCGGGATCTTTTTTTGCACATTTTCAACTTGAAGATCCAAGAAATGTATGTTTTTCAGAATTTCTTTTCGGTGAGTTTAGAATCTT